CACGCGCCCCTCTCACCTGCACGCGCCCCTCTCACCTGCACGCGCCCCTCTCACCTGCACGCGCCCTCTCACCTGCCGCGCCCCTCTCACCTGCACGCGCCCCTCTCACCTGCACGCGCCCCTCTCACCTGCACGCGCCCCTCTCACCTGCACTCGCCCCTCTCACCTGCACGCGCCCCTCTCACCTGCACTCGCGCCCCTCTCACCTGCACGCGCCCCTCTCACCTGCACGCGCCCCTCTCACATTGCACGCGCCCCTCTCACCTGCACGCGCCCCTCTCACCTGCACGCGCCCCTCTCACCTGCACGCCCCCTCTCACTCTGCACGCGCCCCTCTCAACCTGCACGCGCGCCCCTCTCACCTGCACGCGCCGCTCTCACCTGCACGCGCCCCTCTCACCTGCTCACGCGCCCCTCTCACCTGCACGCGCCCCTCTCACCTGCACGCGCCCCTCTCACCTGCACGCGCCCCTCTCACCTGCACGCGCCCCTCTCACACCTGCACGCGCCCCTCTCACCTGCTCAACGCGCACCTCTCACCTGCACGCGCCCCACCTCTCACCTGCACTCGCCCCTCTCACCTGCACGCGCCCCTCTCAACCTGCACGCGCCCCTCTCACCTGCACCGCGCCCCTCTCTCACCTGCACGCGCCCCTCTCACCTGCACAGCGCCCTGGTCATCCAGCAGCAGCAAGTGGCGGTCGCGGATCATCTCGCGAATCACCCCCCTGCCCTCCCCCTCCACCTCCCCCTCGCTGCACACGCGCACCGCCACGCGTGGCCCGCTCAGGGGCGAGGCATGGCGCATGCACTGCAGAGAGCGGCGGGTGGGAGGGAGGGCAGGGCAGGAAGAGAGGGAGCAGGAGAAACGGCTGGCTAGAAGCAGCAGGTGGCACGGGCTGGTATAGAGGCGCGCATGCAGCTGTGCAAGGGCTGGTGCCCCGGCAAGCTTGCTTTGTGCATGACTCCATGGCACAGGCAGGAGGGAACGAGGCGAGAGGGCGACGGGCGAGGTGGGAGCACCTGGAGGAAGTGAGCTGTGTCACGCGGCCACGAGGAGAAGCGATACAGCGGCCGCCACTGCGCATCCTCCTCACAAGCGGCCTCCCCCATGCTGCCTGCTTGCCATCTGCTCCTGCCCATCTCCCGCCTGCTTCACTGGGCCCCACGCGGCACAGCCTCTCCACCACATACCACTGCTCGCCTGCCCTAACCGCTGCTGCTGCTGCCTGTCCACCTGCAGCATGCGTGAGCCGCGGTGGGCACGGTGTCCCGTGGCCACGCACCCCCGTGTAGAAGTCATCATCATCGGGGTCTGAATCTGAATCTGCCTCCCCGCCAGCACTCCTCTCAGCCATGCGCCCATCCATTCCTGCCTCTATGTGCTCCACTGCCCACCCCTGCACGCCTCTCTCTACTGCCCTCCATCCCTCCCTGCCCCTGTCCGCTGCTGCTACTGCTGCTACTGGCATCTCCAGGCTCTCTGCTGTGCATGCAGGCGCCATGCCGACAAGCCCCCGCACCCTCGTCCACGCACCCAAGGGGCTGCACTGGCAGGTGACTGGCGGGTAGGGCGGGGGGCATGGGGGATATGCGGTACACCCCCGCGTCCTGGTGCTGCGGGGGGACAGGAGTGGTGGGAATTGAGAGGTGCATGGAGGGGAAACGCTTGGGTGAGGAGAGAGAAGGGTGGGAGTGGGAGTGGCACATCACAGCAGGGAATGAAGGGACGTGTGTAATGAATGGAGATGGGAGGCGAGGGGAAGGAGCGGCGTGCCTGGTGGATGGTGGGGTTGGAAGAGCAGTGGTTCCAGGAACATGGGGTGGGGCACAAGGCTGGCGGGGCAGCAGGGCGTGCTGACGTCAGCGAGCCATGCCATGCCGTTGATGTGCACCAGCAGACACATCTGCATGCGGTGAGGGGGTGAGGAATGGGGGTTGGTGGGGCAACGCATGGTGAGAGGGCATGTGCATGAATGAGAACACATGGGTAGGTGGGTGGGTTGTTGGTTGTGAGTGGGTGGGTGGGTGTGTCGGTGGGTGGGTGGGTGTGTGGGTTACAGGACAGTACGGGATAGGAAGAGCCAAGTCACCGAGTGAGATGGCTCACTCACGTCGTACATGATCTGCCAGCTCTGCACTGCTGGTGAGGCAGCTGCACTAGCTGACTGGACAGGCTGCTGCGCTGAGTCAGCAGGAGATGAGAGGCGAGCCACGCAGGCAGCCGCATGGTCCGGCGATGGCGCCGCTGCAGGGGAGGCAGCATTCAAAGTAGCAGCCGGTACATGTGGTTGACGAGAGGAGCGCCGGGAGGAGGACGGAGGGGAGTGGTGGTGGCGGGGCGAGTGTGGCGATGTGGCAGGAGAGGGCGGGCAGCAGGTCGACCTGGCAGGCGAGGTGGTGGCGGAGCACCCACGCCAACAGCACGTTGGACTGCCCTCCACGCACAGAGGAGAGGGGGGTGGGAAGGAACAGCGATTGGATAGGGGTCAGCTTACGGGGGCCCGTGGTGCTCTGCGCGGCCTACAAGCTCCTCACAGGCCCTGCGCTGTGGCGTGGCTGAACAGGACGAGGTGCGTCGGTGCAAGTGGGAAGGAGTGTTGCAAGCTGGCGTGCGGGAGAGGTGAGTGAGGCAGGACGGTGAAAGTGAGGCAATGGGAGATGGTGATATGGTGATATGCTGCGAGCGACGAGCAGCACGTGGCGTTCTCGAAGGACTCCCTCGCCATTTCTGCATCATCAACATCACAGCATCATCAACATCACAGCATCACAACATCACAACATCAACATCACAGGCATCGCAACATGCATTTCCCCTGCTGTGCTTCGCGCCCTCCCCATGTCCGCACCTCATGCGACCATGCCCCTCACACCCGTCGCGGCCTCACGTCCCGTGCGCCCCCCTCACCTCGAAGCACGAGCCCCCGCGCTGAGAGCACACCATCTTGCGGTACAGCGCGCGCGCGCCAGCGCTGCAGGGCTGTCCGCCACGGGCCTGCATGCAGTGCAGTGGGCACGCCACACACGCGAGGGGAAGGGGAGCGCAGGAGCCGTGAGTGACTGAGTGCGTGCAGCATGGCATCTGGAAGTGCATCGCCCGCACGCCCAGCGCGGCAGGGCTGTCCGCCTCACTGGGCCTTCATGCCGCAGGGAAGGCGCGGGACACAAGCGCCATACGGACGAGAGTGGGTGAGAGAACACACAGCAGCCATCCGCGCAACACGCTGCAGGCGGCGGGGGTCGGGCTGGAGGTCAGACGGCAGTGGCGATGCGCGAGAAACGGGTATGGGCGCGAGGGCGAGGGTGAGGTGGGTGGAGCGGTTGGTGATGACGGTGGTACATGGGAACGACTTGTTGAAAAGGAAGGCATCTCACGAGAGCAGGTCGAGAGGAATGCTCCTCGCATGTTCCTCATGCAGCTGTCGGAACAGCCCCACGACGTCCTCTCCCCACGCCTCCCCCACTCCCCCGCCTTCCCCGGCCCCTCCGCCTCCCTCTCCCCCCACCCGTCCCCCACATTCCGCCCGCAACCCCCCCGCGAGCACACCCCCGCCGTAGGGGTCAAGGCGCGCGGGCAGCGGGCCGTCGTGGCGCAAGCGGAGCAGGTAGCCGCGGAGCATCTTGAGCGGCGAGGGGCCTTCCGCCTGCTCGTGCGCGTCCCATGACCGCGTCGCGTGCATGCCGGTACAACCGTTGCGGCGATGGGGGGTGCGAAGTCACCGAGTAGCGCGATCTCACGACTCGTAGCGTGCGAGCGGCAGGCAAGCTGGCGGGGATCTCACGACGTGCGAAGAGGTGGTGCGCCCGCAACAGTTGGCTTTTTGGGTGGGCTGGGAGGGAGGGTGCGCTGTTGGTTTTTGGGTGGGCTGGGAGGGAGGGTGCGCTGTTGGCTTTTTGGGTGTACCCACCCACCATAAATCGGCTCATTACACTACTGTCAAACAGTGTTGGTCTGTTTACTAATCCATGAAACATCCAATATAAATGTGACACGAATCAATATAATCTGCTTACTTTCAAGAAGAGTTCACATCATGGTGCTTGTTGAGATAACCTCGTGATTGAATGGATAGGATAAAGAGCCTTTTGAGTTAAGAAAGCGGATGTCTGTGTCAAGACACTATCATTGTAAATGTAATTAACAATAACATTGTAATATTGCATGTATTGATGTGTATAGTGTTGTCGGGAAAAGGCCCTGCCCTCTCTTTAGGCGAAGCCGACTTTGTTGTCTGACATGTTTCGATCAGAAACTAGATCGTAACCAGGATCACCTCGGGAAGGTTCGCAAAGAGTGCGTGTTAGTGGTGAGCCCTTGACCTCAAATCGTAGTGAATGTAAAATGATTGAGATAATGACATGCGAATACAAGCATATAAATAAGAGTACAAGGGAATACGAAACGACCTAACTAGCCATGTACTCTAAGTGGTACATTCCCTCATTGCAGCGAAATCCAACCGTGCGACTCCAGACGGTTATGAACCATTCTGGCAGAATCCCCGCCACTGCTGCTGCCTGGTGCTGTCTACCCTGACGGTCCAGATGCCCTGTAACCGTACGCGACCCTTCGTGTCATTCTTCTTCAGCCTCGGTACTGTGTACCTCGATTGCTGCTGTTAGGAGTGTACAATGTTCTTTCTCAATTTTACTATTCGTAACACCCCCCTTCACTCCTGGCCGTAGCAAGTCTTGGCCCGCTTGACTACTATGCTGAGATCGGCGCAGTGCTGGTATAGTCGCTTCGTGAGGAAGTCGACTGCCATGTCACCCGTCGAGCAGTAGGTCAAGAGTCATCCTTGCCTTTGTCAACTTCGTCCTTGACGAAGAAGTACCGCAGCGCAATATGTTTGGTGCGGTTGACGAACCCAGGTTTGTTCGCGATCCTGATCGCGCTCTGGTTGTCGCAGTGCAGGCGAAAGGTGGTCGAGGTTGAGATTTCGCTTCCTGTAGGAGCTCCTGTCGGTAGAGCCCTTCGCGAACAGCTACTGTCGGGGCGATGAATTCAGCTTCGGTCGATGACATGGCAACCAACTCCTGCTTTGTGAGTTTTTGGAGATGGGACCTGTTGTCTCTAGGCGGAACAGGAAGCCGGTTCAGAACCGTCGATTGTTGGGGTCAGCAGTGTGATTGGTGTCCACGTAGTCGATGAGGTTGAAGGACGGGGTCGTGACTGTGGAGTAACAGAGCCCGACATTGGGCGTGGGAGATGAAGAATTGAAGGGCGCGCTCAAGATCCAGGTCATTTTCAGCCGTTGGTTTCCGTGAGTACTGAGCTAGCTGGCTCGCGATGTCAAACTTATATGCTATAGTCTGTGTAGGCTGTAGTGGGGTGGTTCATATGGGATACAACACTTTAGGGTTTCCTACTTGTACTCCTCATGCTGCTCAATGCAATCATTCCTCGTTCATATTCTCACGTGGTATTAGAGCAGAATCGTTCCTAGGGCCCACCGAACGTTCCGCCCTGCCCTAACTGAATTTGTTTTTTTAGCTGCCCCTGCGGCCGCGCTGCCCTTGCAGCCCGCGTGCTGCCCCTGCGGCCGTGCTGCCACTGCAGCCGTGCCTGCCCCTGCAGCTGTGCCTGCCCCTGCAGCCGTGCCTGCCTCTGCAGCCCGTGGGAGCTGCCCCTGCAGCCCGCGCGCCGCCCTCCCGAACAGCTGTGCCTGCCCCTGCAGCCGTGCCTACCCCTGCAGCCCGTGGGCGCTGCCTCTGCAGCCGTGCCTGCCCCTGCAGCCCGTGGGCGCTGCCCCTGCAGCCGTGCCTGCCTCTGCAACCCGTGGGAGCTGCCTCTGCAGCCTGCGCGCCGCCCTAAACGTGCTCGTCGCGACGCCCCTTCGGGACCCGCGCGGCGTCCCCCTCCTGCTCGTCGCGCCCCCCCCGGGGCGTCGCCCCTGCTCGTCGTGGCGCCCCCTGGGTGTCGTTCCTGTTCGTCGCGGCGCCCCCTGGGCGCCTTCCCTGCTCGTTGCGGCGCCCCCCCGGGGCGCCTTCCCTGCTCGTCGCGGCGCCCCCGGGGCGTCGCTCCTACTCTTCGCGGCGCCCCCCCCCTGCAGCATCTGCCTCGGAGCCCCGCCCTGCAGCAGCTGCCGCGGAGCCCCCTGCCGCCGTAGCGGCCCCGCCCTACAGCAGCTGCCGCGGAGCCGCCTGCAGCAGTCGCGGCCTCGCCCTGCAGCAGCTGCCGCGGAGCCCCCCTGCCGCCGTCGCGGCCCCCGCCCTGCTGCAGCTGCCGCGGAGCCGCCTACAGCAGTCGTGGCCCCGCCCTGCAGCAGCTGCAGAGGAGCCCCCTGCCGCTGTCGTGGCCCTGCCCTGCAGCTGTCCCGGCCCCGCCGTCGCCGCCGTTGTGCGCCTACCCTGCTCGCCCGGCAAGCGACTGCCCTTCCCGCCACTGGTGAGCACTTGCCCTACCCGCGCTTCCCGCGCGCCTGCCTTACTAGCGCGCTGCCACACTGCCCTGCCCGTGCTGCTACTACTGTTTCTGCTGCTACTACGGCTACTATTGCTACTGCTGCTCCTGGCGGTGGCCAGATGCAGCTCCAGCGACGTCCGCGTGAGTCCCTCACGCCCTAGCAGCTACTTGAGTGGTACGCTAGTTGGGGTTGTAGGGGTGGCCGCGCTGCTACTGCTGCTACTGCTGTTACTGCTGCTACTGCTGCTACTGCGGCTACTACTGCTACTGCTGCTCCTGGCGGTGGCCAGATGCAGCTCCAGCGACGTCCGCGTGAGTCCCTCACGCCCCAGCAGCTTTGTGAGTGGTACGCTCGTTGGGGTTGTAGGGGTGGCCGTGGTGGGAGTCGCCCTGGAGCGGGTCGTTTGGGAGCTTCTGGTAGTGACCAGGTGCAGCTGCAGCAGCGTCCGCGCGTGGTCCTTTCGCCCCAGCAGCTTCGTGAGTGGTACGCTCAGAGTGGAGGGTCACGGAGTACTGCTCGCTACATGTACGTCATTCGCACTGGTGCTCGGGCTGGTCAGCCTTGCGGGACGATTGGTCACACAGAGTCCCGCTGCCTTTCCCGTCTGAGCGACGCCTGGCGTACAGAGTTTGGCGACGCGGCTGAGCTCCCCGACTGGGTGGAGCTGCTTAGGCAGAGGGTAGATATCTTTGCTCTTAACTATGATGCTATCCTCACTGCCATGTATGCATTGCCTACTAGTGCTGAGGGTGCCTGTTACCTGTGTGTGCCGCGTGACCCAGGTATAGAGTCTACTGCTCTAGGTGCTGGTGAGGCTGCTGCTCTAGGTGCTGGTGCGTCTCCTGCTCCAGGTGCCGGTGAGGCTACTGCTCTAGGCGCTAGGGAGTCCACTCCTCCAGGTGCTGGTGAGTCTGCTCTCTCTGGTACTACGCCTGCTGCGGCCTTGCACACTTTCACCCTTGACTCGGGTGCTTCCCGCTCCTTCTTTCGCGACTGCACCACACTCTCGCCGCTCAGTCGGCGAGTGGCAGTCTCTCTGGCTGACCCCTCTGGGGGTCCGGTCCTTGCACACTCCTCCACGGTTCTGCTATGTCCGGCGGTCCCGTCTGGCTCTCTGTCTGGCCTCCACCTCCCCTCGTTCTCCACGAACTTGGTGAGTGGAGCTGACCTTCAGGACGCGTGGGTTGACCAGTTCACTCCTGGAGGTCAGCGGGTGACCCACTGCTCGTGTACTCGGACTGGCCGGCACCTGGCCACGTTCACCCGTCAGCCTACCGTGTCTCCTCCGGTTGCTGAGTCTGGTCAGGTGGCTGCGTCGGGTCAGGTGTTTGCTGCAGCGTCCCGGTCTGGTCCTGAGTCTGCCCCCTGCTCGTGTCGCCTCCTGTCTCACCAGACTCTCCTCTGGCACCACCGCCTTGGTCAACCCTCCCTGCCTCGTCTGCGAGGCATGGCCTCCCGTGTCCTTGTCACTGGTCTTCCCCGGTCTCTCCCTCCCCTTCCCCCGGGGCCTGCCCCTACCTGCGTTCCTTGTGTCGAGGGGCGACAGCGCGCCGCTCCTCACTCCTCTGAGTTCCCTCCGACGGATGCTCCCCTGCAGACGCTTCACATGGACGTGTGGGGCCCAGCCCGCGTCCGTGGCCTGGGTCACGAGCGCTACTTTCTACTAGTCA